AGGTCAACCACTGAGACATCCACGGTGGGAACACGGAAAGCCATTCCAGTCAGCTTTCCATTTAGTGCAGGCAGAACTTTCCCCACAGCCTTCATGCACACACACACAAAAGGTCATGATAAAGAAAAAACATCACAATGCCTCGTACAAACAAAATATAGATAAAAATAAAATAATTAATAGAATTTTCTTTTTTTCTTTTTTTTATCATGTGTCCAACATTGAAATAAATATCCTACTCTACCGCCTATGCTATGTGATACCAAACATAGATATGCAAAGCATTCTGCCATCTACAAATTATTTAAATAAAACTGCAATTCATTCCATAGACACAAATCATCTGAATACCTTGGCAGCTCCAGTACTGCTAGGGATAATGTTGAAAGAGGCAGCTCTTCCACCTCTCCAGTCCTTCATTGATGGACCATCAACAGTCTTTTGTGTTGCTGAAAGGCATGAAATAATAAGATAAAAAAGTTCACTTTATCTAAAGAAAAAAGGACAATGAGTAGTACCAGTAATTGAATGCACTGTGGTCATGAGGCCTTCGACAATGCCAAATTTGTCATTAATAACCTGTAGTGATTTATATGCAAGAAACATAAGATAGGAATTCCAGTCTTTTGTTATGATACAAACTGAAACCAAGTACAAAAGCAACCTTCGCCAATGGAGCAAGACAGTTGGTAGTGCAACTAGCGTTGGAAACAATATCAATATCTAATTTGTATTCCTTCTCATTGACACCCATAACAAATATTGGAGCATCCTTACTCGGAGCAGAAATGACAACCTTCTTTGCGCCACCCTGGTAATCAAACAAAAAACGGGGCAATACTGATTAACATCAACAAACCAACAAAATAAATAAATAAAATTTTAAAAATGACCCTCGACACTGTCCACTGAGCATAATATGCAAAAGAACATTCAAATTTATGTGCAGGAGATTGCACCAGAACAAGTATTATATGAAGCAATTACAAGATTAGATTATGAATATAATAATAATAATAACTAAGGTCTATGTAGCCAAACATGAAAACAAATTCAACATGAAACACTTTCATGAAAAAGTTATTATCAGACATCAATACAGATGAATTTCATCAACAATATCATTCAAGTATGTGTGCATGAGCCAAAATGCATATTAAGAGAGCAGCAAATTAAGGCAAACCTTCAAATGTGCAGCAGCTTTGTCCTTGTCAGTAAAAACTCCTGTGGACTCAACAACATATTCAGCTCCAACCTCACCCCACGGAATCTCCTCTGGGTTTCTAAATAACAAGCAAAGAAAATATAATCAATAATCAGAAGACGTGATTTTTAAAAAGTTGAAATATAAAGATGGAGAACCAGTTTATACCTCGAACCAAAGACTCTGACAGGTTTGTCGCCAAAGAGAAGGGTCTTGGAATCCTTAACCTTAAGCTCATTCTTTTTCCATTGGCCGTGAACACTGTCATATTTGAACATGTAGGTCTGTACAGCACAAAATCAAAATCAAGTTAACAAAAGATGGATATCCAATAATTGATTTCATGGCCTAGTGGTGACTTGGGGCCACTGAAATGGTTATCAGGGTTCAAATAATCCATTGTCCATGATAAAAAGAGAGAAGAAGAAAAAAAAGTTATGCATATTATATAGCTATGTGGAAATTAAAAGCTAGAGCAAAACAATTCATCTAGATAGTCTAATGCTAATTTACCTAGGAACTTTCTTTGTCAAGAAGTTTCTTCAAAACTCAAACAAAAGCAACCTCACTCACACATTCTGTCTCTATATACATGTGATTATGTATGTGGCATGAATTCCATATTGACTCTTTAATTTTGCATGATTATGTTGCATCCAGTAAAGTTATCTCACAACATTTGATTAGACAAAAGCACATCCTAGGACGAAACTAAAAATTTCCAACAACACAGCGTCGAAGCCTCCCTACAAAACAATTACAAACCAAAAGGGATCATGGATCACATAATCCATCTCAGTTAATTTGTTAACTTTTTTTTAAAGAAATTCTAGAGTAAATTATCCTTACTTGATAGCAGCTTTGATCTCATCATAGGAAGCCTTCTTCTCAATCCTCGCAGTGAGGTCAACCACTGAGACATCCACGGTGGGAACACGGAAAGCCATTCCAGTCAGCTTTCCATTTAGTGCAGGCAGAACTTTCCCCACAGCCTTCATGCACACACACACAAAAGGTCATGATAAAGAAAAAACATCACAATGCCTCGTACAAACAAAATATAGATAAAAATAAAATAATTTTTGGAATTTTCTTTTTTTCTTTTTTTTTTTTTTTTTTTTTTTTTTTTGTTTTGAATTTTTGGCTCGGTTGAAGGTGTCCAATCCTTTTGAACAAATTTTCGGGATGTTGATCGATCGCATTTGGAAGCGATCGTCGCTTTTCATATTTATTTTGGGTCGAATTCAAGTAGAACTTAGAGATCGAGAGCAGTTTAATCTCACTTGGTCAATTGATAGTCCTTGAGAGTGCGATCGATCACACTGTCTATTTTATTTGGGTGAATTTTCAACAAAATGCTTCGATCGTAGACGACTGATCTCGTTTTAGGCGATCGTTCACTCTTGTAAGTGTGATCAATCGCTTTGACTAAAATTTGATTTATGACTCTTTCGCTTCATTTTCTCCTCATTTCTCTTCTCTCTCTCTCTCTCTCTCTCTCTCTATTCAAAAAACTCTTTTCTCTCTCTCTAAAACCTTACACAAAAAAATATACGAATCCTCCAATCCACCCCACTCAGAGTTAGAATTTCACATTGCTCCTTTCATCAAGAGTGTAGAGAGCGTCAGGAGCGTCGATTTCATCAAAGACGATCGTCATTTGGACAACTCTGAAATTTAGAATTTTTTCTACTCCTTCCCTAATTTGAGTGGGGATTCTATTACTTTGTATATTTGTTTTACCATGATTATGTGGTATTTTGTTAGTTATGATTATTAGGAGAAATTGGGAATTTTTATGATTTATATGGTATAAAAGGGTAAATTACACTTACACTCATTAGGTTTAGGTTTAATACATATCACCTTGACATTTGGGAAATTATACTAACCCTTGTCATTATAATTATTTAAACGAAATGAAAATATTAAATTCATGCACTTTCTCTTTTTTTGTTTTGCTTTATTTTCTCTTTTTTTTAAACTATTAACCACAGGGGTGGAAATGTAATTTCTAAAACGTCAGGGAATGGGTTGTAATTGGATCAAACCTCAAGGGGGTGTCAATGTAATTTACCTTGGTATAAAATTAGGGCTTGTTCATGTTTTATAAATTTCTCAATTACAACCTAACCTAAGGAAGCCCTAATTTTTCAAAGTGTGGTATCTAAATTGAGGAAGCCCTAAATTTTTCAAAGTGTTGTATCTAAATTGAGGGAGCCCTAAATTTTCCTAATACACTAGAAAATTTGGATAATGGGAGTGTGAATTGTGTATGATTGAATTGTTGGAGAGATGTTAGAAATTGATGAATTATCATTGAATTTGTGTATTTTCTTGGAAGTATTGGAACTTATTGAATCTATTTGAAATATTAGGATCTTTGTTAGTTATGCTCCTGCATTACCTTAATGTAATACTTTGATAGAGATAACTATTGTTGGCAATCGGTAGAGGATTGCATTGTTGTAGTATTGAATTGAAAACTATGAAAATTGAAACCATTTGCAACTCATGTATAGCATTAACAATTTCATGTTTTCCCATGTGTACTATTACATATTTTTTAGAAAAAGTTGTTGCAAGTATTTCTTTGGAATTCGGAAATGGGTGAAATTATTGAAGTAAATAACATTGTAAAATCCAGGATACAAATATTTTTGAAGAGAATTAAGTTGGCTTCAAGTTTTCAGTGAAAGTCCAGAAATTTGCGTGGAATAGATGTCCAATTGCCCCTTTTGATTAATAGCTAGAGAATGTAGAATATTTTTGGTCGTTCTTTGATAGATTACTTGCAGGCATTGAGATTTTCAGTTTATTACTCCTTACGTCTCAAAATATTAGTCACTTATTTTATTTTTCATTGTCCCAAAATATTAGTCTCTTTTCAAAAATCAAGGATTAAAATAATATGAATTTCTTAATTTGCCCTTCTTTTAAATTCATTAACAACACAAAAAGTATAATTATGACAATTGATATTCTCTAAAAAATGTACTATCAAAGGGTAATTTTGGAAAATCAATATTTTCAAAGTGCAATAATTGTACTATAAAAAAAAGTTAGATTTCCCAAAAGTTAGATTTCCCAGAATTGAACAATGATAGAGACCACTAATTTTGGAACTCTAAAAAGATCACTAATGACATGACACTCAATAAAAAAAGAAAAAAAATACAACATCAAGGCCAAAATATCAAATTATTCAAGATAGGACCCACTGCCACATCATTAATGGTAGCACTAATTAGTGCCCTCACACATTTTCCTACAGAATTTGTGATAGGCCACACGCCCAAACAACGGTGTTCTATCCACACGAGTTGCCTCCGTACCTATAGATAAACTCTATAAATCCTAAATCTAATAAAATAATATTCTAAATTAATAATACTATAAACTTAAAAATTTCACTCCCAATTTTATTCAAAAATATTAATTTATAACTCAGATTCATTTATATGTATCAATTCAATATGTAGCACCCTGATAATTCAAGAATGTCATGTCGCGCTACATAACAGTTCTGATTCTAAAATATATGGTAATTATTTTTTCCAAATAGTATGTGGTACTATTCACTATGTTTGGTTATCATTTTTTAAAAAATTTTATTTTTTTATTTTTCGTATTTTTTTGTTTTTACTGAATTTTTTTAATATTTTGAGCAATTTTTTTTTAAAAAAATTTTTAGACATACCTAACATAAATATACCTAAAAAGTAAAAAAAAAATTGAAAAAAACTTTTTAAAAATTCACTAAATATCAAAAATACAAAAAAAAAAAACGAGAATTCCGTACATTTTTTGTATTTTTATTTATTTATTAATTTTAAAAAATATTTTTTCACAATTTTTTTTATTTTTTAGATACATCTAAGTAAGGTGCATCTAAAAAGATAAAAAAAATGTTTAAAATTTTTAAAATATTCACTAAAAACAAAAAAACACAAAAACCAAAAAACTCAGTTTTAAAAAACTTAATTTAAAAAACTCAAACCACACACACTGATTATTTGTGGTACTAGTAAAACTGTTATACTTCAGCGAAATTCTATGGTACTCACCCTTTTTAGGATGTGTATCATATATATCTTTAATTATGATTTTTGTGCATTTTGGTTATGACTTATTAAAATACTAGCATATGTTCATGTCTAAAGGCACAATATAAATAATGTTATGATTATAATATAATTGTAATTCCAATACTATTTAAATTTAAGATTGAAATGCAACTATAAAAATATATTTAATAAACTACACTCTACAATTCAAAACAAATCAAATATAAAAAAAAAATTAAATATCAAATAATGCACACCAGCCAGTACTCTGCAATTTAAAAGAAATTAAAATTAAAATGCACATCAGTTAGTGTTACGCCACATACATTAGAGCCAATGGAAACCAAAGTTATCATGTTCATACTCATTCAGAAACTGATTAAAGATACAATCTGTTCTTGAATGGGATTAAAGTAAAATTGAATCAGTTTCTGCAGATTGATTTTTTTTTTTTTTTTTTTATAAAATATTAAATTAATTAAGGGCTGCTGTGGAAATAAATAATACAGGAGAGTAATATTCCAGTGCTTTGTGCTTAAGATAGAGAAGAATACTGAATAATGAATAGGGAAGAATTTGAATAGCTGTTCTTTGAATAATGTAGTGTGAGAGCAGTACAACCTGCAGTTGTACTTGTACATAATTCTTGCACGAGTTTGTGTAATTTGCAGTTAAGTTTGTTATTTGAGTTAGTATGGGGTCTTTTTGATAATGATTTTGTTTTCTGTGGTGTTTTTGTTTTTGATTTTTAGAAACTAGAAATGAAAACTTGTTTGATATATTTGTTTTCATTTTCAAAAAATTGAAAATTGATTTCAGAATTTTCAAAACTTTCACAAAAATTGAAAGTTTAATGGTAAGCTTCGAAGAGGTTGAGATTTTCTTTGTTTTCCGTATGTAAATTAAGATATGTTTAATGTAACTTCTTATAAGTTAAAAATTGATAGTCAAAATATAACAGTCAGAAGTACCCATTAAACTTTTAGATAAATCAACTTTTTTTTTATTTATTTAAATAATTTCTAAAAATAAAATAAAAAACTAATCCCTTGATTAGCAGACGAAATGAAAGTATCGACTCCAAAAGACAGAGGGAGGCACAAAGGACAACTAGCTTATCACCCCCCTTCTTCACTCATGGGGACATACATGTTTAGACCTCTTGAACACTCTCATACCCTTCAAACCATTAGTCTCAAGATTCTTATTTTATTTTACAGAAGTGGGTTAGTCATATGTCAAATTGTCTGAAAATCACAAGA